CCGAAAAATACGGTACGTCGAGGGCAACGAAAAATTCACATTAAACGTATGTTAATTTTAACATTTATACAATTATTTACTACTTTTTGTAGAAAGTTTTGAAAAAACCTACAAGATCATGATAAAGCAACAAGAAAATTAATCTATTAGACTTTTTTTTATTTATAAAATATTACATTTCCCAAAAATATAAGGTTTTATGAACTGCAGAAATTCATAAGAAACCTTAAGAATTCTTTATTAACAAAACATTTTCCGCCGGCTTAGTTTACTACTAAACATTAGGTAAATTGTTAAATACTTGTTTGAGTGAGAAAGCAATAACAAAATATGACAGGTGCACAATATTTGTGAGGACCACGTTCTTCAAGGCTAGATCAGACCAAACGGAAATATCTTTCAGGAATGAGGCCAGTTCTTAAAGTTCGAATGAACTAGGTGTACCAACCTACAGTATCTATCTTGAACGCGCACAAAAACCGGTTTGGGGGCTTGTGCACAGTCCTTCAACTGTTTTAGATTGCAAAATAGCGTCCCGATTGAGTGCTTAGTCTTACCAGGACGAGACTGTTTAGTTAGATACACAGTGGGCTTGTTTGTTGTTACCACTACAATTTTAATAATTCTACGTGTAATCGTTTTGGTCTTAAAATAAGGTTTTCCAAAGCTAAAGAGAATGTATGTTCGTTATTCTTCGGTTTAAAATTCGCGGCTCTGTGTAACCCCACTGAAAATCGCCTTGAACAACTTTCTCAAGGAAAGCCAGTCAAAAATCTGTATAGGTTGGGAATGAAGTTCTACCGCCATAGCCCGATTTTGTCTGGTCTCGCTGTTATATTTTGGAGTTTAGTTGTTGTTGACGGTAAGACGAGTTCATTGTTAGGCCTGTTTATTGGCTTTGTTTATACGTATTTAGTCTAACACTTAATATATAAGTAATTTGTACATTATCATGAATTTCAGGCTTTCCAGTGGTTTTTAGAAGGTCACTTCTGACTTTTCAGTTTTCTGAACCTTACATATACCGTTTGTAATCTTTATATTCATATATTATTATTGTTATTTGTTGACGTTCATATTTTTGTGAAATTTAAATGAAGTATAAACACGTGGATAACTTCATAAAATATGTACCAGCTCAGAAAAATACCTTTTTTTCGTTTTGTTAGTTATAAAACAAATGTGCTATTGCTTCGCCTGTATATTATCATTGTATATCTTTTCTCCTGTAGTTTGTAACACTTTATTAGTACGCACGAACAACGTGCTAACTATATTCTTGACCATATGAACTGGAGATTAAAATATCTTATAACTTAAAAATAGTAAAATATATTTAAATACTGAAGCATTCCATATCCTTTGGGGGGGGGGGCTGCAGGTTGAAATATTTTGTTGTGAACAATATACATACCTTTTGACCTGGTTTTTCTTCTGATACGGTAATGACCTACACGTGCAAAGGGCAGACTCTTTGTTGGGTTCTAGTAAGATTATAATAACGAGAAAGATTTCAACAAAAGTTTGTGCCACCTCATTTGTAATTTATAGTAACATGCTGTTACCCACGTCACAACTTCACCTAAATAACTTAAACACTTAAAAGGAAGTGAGTCAGAAATTTTCAGTTTTGTTTCGTACGAAAAAGGTGACTATAGCCTTTAGGGGGAAAAAAAAAATGTGCCGGGTGTGGACAAATGGTTCCCGTTCCCGTATTGTGAATGGGTGTTACATACAATTGCAACTGGTCTGAGATTGAGTTAACTGATAAATTTAAATTTAACTTGTACTTTGGATTTAGTAGTTAAGTAAAAGCCGATATATAGTCAATTTATGATATTTGCCAACAAGATTCATACACACAGTTTT